AACTGCATGGAAGGGATTTGAGAATAGATCAGATTTTGTCAAGTTTGATTCAAATGGATTCTTAGCAAAGAAACTAGGATGCTTATAGAGGCAAGCAGAAGAGAGGACTGGAATCCAATTCTTTCATTCATTGTGAAATTGTGCTGTTGAGTTCAGTGCAATGTGCTGTTGTGCACAGACCAAAGACTGCTCCTTAGATAATAAACCCAGAGAAAAAGAAACTCAATGTAGTCACATGCTTGTTTCTTTTTGTGAAGTCTAATGCATCATAAAGTTGCCACAAGGAGGAAAGATTAGCTGGTAGCCTGCTACTGACCACATCTCCTGTGTTTAGAAAGGGTGAAATAGGGGATTAAATCATATATTGTCTAACTATATTTGTACTATATTTGTTTCACCAGAAATGTAAACATGTAGAAAAACACCTTATATCCTATAACTATGCATTTAGAAATAATCCAGAGCTTTGGAAAGTAACCCAACTAAATGTCAATATATGTTGTAGTCAGGGTTCTGCCATTGAACATTTACATCCTTTCGTTGTTATTTTAAAACATTGTGAAGTGGAAGGAAAGCATATGATCATGGGCCGAAATGTCACTATGAATAGGAGGCATTAGGGTATAATAGATGGTTTGATAAGTTAGACTGACATGTCAATTCTCATGGCACTGATGTCTTAGAGTTTCCCATTTAGAAACATGCATAAATAGAGAAGGTGGCACAGCTTTCCATTCTCTTTCCTACGTAGGTTCTCTTGCTATAATAGAAACAGTGTAATAAAAACCATATATCCTGTGACAGGCATCTAGAAGCTAGATTATGTACCAGCTATGCCACTTAACTGGATATGTGACTGACTTTAGACATGTCATTTCTTATAACTACATTTCCTCAAGATATGGGAGTAATTTTTTATCTTCTTTTCTAAACAGAAATGAAGAAATAGTCATGAAAATGATTTTTTGAACTTCAAAATTAGCCAAGTGTTGGAGCTCAGGCCATAATACCAACAGGGAAGTCAGGGGGTGGGAGTTTGAAGCCAGCCTTAATGAAATTCTGTCTCAAAAAATAACAATAACAAGACAGGGATGGTCATTAAGGCCTTTAATCCTGGCAGGCAGATCTCTGGGAGATTGAGGCCAGCCTGGTGTCCATAGTGAGTTCCAGGCCAGCTGAGGTTACAGGGAGACCCTGTATAAAAAAAAAAAAAAAAAAGGAAAAACCTTGCCAGATTTTGTTACTGTTGAATTAATTTCTTGGTTATATTTTTATTTTTAAACTTTTGATAATTATATACACACCTTTAATACAAAAAATTATTAAAGTTGTTGGAATAGGCTGGAGAGTGG